TGTTCCCCTGATCTAAATCCAATTGAGAATCTTTGGGGATGGATGGCAAGGGAAGTTTACAAAAATGGACAACAGTTCCAGACAGTAGATGCCCTTCGTGCGGCCGTATTCACCACTTGGAGAAATGTTCCCACTCACCTGATGGAAATGCTTGCATCAAGCATGTCACAACAGGAAAAAAAAAAAAAGGACTTCTGCAGAATTCCTTTACTAACTTAATGAAAGGGTCCTCAGAGGGCTGTGGTTTGCATCAGTGCTCCCAAGCCACTTTCAGGGAGTAAGCAAGCTGCTCTCTGTGGGAAGCACTGCACGCACGCCTTTTCAGCGGTGACCTCTGGTGTGTTTCAACGTGCCCCTGTGGTGCAAGTTATAGCTATAGATGTCACCAAACAGGACCATAAACAAGCGAAATGGCAGTAACCCCAGGGGTCTGGTTCCCAGTCCATTGGAGGACCAGGTCCATTAAGCTTCTCGCATCAGTCTTTTGAAATAGTAGATTTATATATTGCAACTATATATACACACTCAAACATATGCCCAAACGACATCTTGTACCCGAGCCTTGCATCCTATGCTGCCCTCCCAGAGAGCCCCGCGTCTCCCGGATCAGCACCGCGGACAGGGCCACACAGACAGCCTCAGGGAAAGAGCCCCACGTCTCCCAGATCAGCACCGCGGACAGGGACACACAGACAGCCTCAGGGAAAGAGCCCCGCATCTCCCGGATCAGCACCGCGGACAGGGCCATACAGACAGCCTCAGGGAAAGAGCCCCGCATCTCCCGGATCAGCACCGCGGACAGGGCCATACAGACAGCCTCAGGGAGAGCACCAGGCTTCTCCTGGATCAGCACCGCGGACAGGGCTGTACAGAGACGGTGCCCTGTGCCGTTCCCTGCCCAGCAGTGGGCCTGTACACCCGCGTGCTGGGGCCTCATGCACTGGAAGGAGGAAGATGATCATAAAGGAGGCACATGGCCACCTGCTATAAACCAGACTCCATAGCTTCGAGAGCCGTGTCCATGTGAACTCTCCCCAGAGAAGACTCTCACACCAAGCCTCCACTGGCCACCTGGCCCATGAACACTCATCTGTTTCTGCCTTGCTTTGGCCTACACGTCACATTTCCCACCCATAGCAATGCCTGCTGGTCACTATTAGGCTAAATTGGTCTGAGTAGCCACACAGGTCTTTATGCTTTCTCCCCTCCACAATCTGTGTCCCTATGTAGGCTCCTCCTCTCTCCAAGAGCAATATCCAAGGTCCCCAACATAAAAGGGTGGCGTACAGCACGCTCCAGCGCACTATATTCACAGAATTAATAAATCCATAACATCTGTGAAAAAACAATGCAGCTTCATTTATGCCCTTAAAAGGTACATTCATCTTTCTTAAGATATCATTTGCTAAAACCCATAAATACAGCTATGTACAGCATGATCAATAGAGTCCTATACTGAAAGAAAACTGCTGATTAAAACCTGTTGCTGCACTCCTTCAAAGTGACATGGAAATACTGTAGATGTTTTGTAATGTCATACATATAGCTATGGGGATAATTTCACCTTCGTTTTAAATTTCCTTCCTTTCTAGTAGCAAGTCCATGTGAGAAAGGCAGACTTCCTTTTAACTTATAAATCTGCAGCTTTGAACGACAGAACAGGATTGTCTCTGCAATTTGAAGCTTGTTCTTAATCCTAACCAACCAAAAAGATTGCCATCAACCTTACTAGACGAATCACAAAACTTATGCTGTCTTTCCTGCTAATAGTTTAAAAGGGTGATTACAACTGTCATTGTAGACAAAGAAGGAAAATGAATCACCCCCTTCCCTTCAAAAAAAAAATAAAGAATAAAATCTATGCTAAGTCTTCATCATTCAGTTGGGCTCAGAGAAAAAGCTATTGGATAAAATATCCCTCACACCTAAGGGTAAATAAGTCTAAAGATTGGACAGAGCACCAAGAGCTACACATGAAATTGTAACCCTGCCCCTACAATGAAGAAATCAGACCCAAGTAGTTAGAAGGCAACAGCACTCCACAACAGAGTCCAACATGCACGTCTGTTCAATGCATAGCCTAAAACCTTCAGATATTGGCGCTACATTCAATGTATAAAGCGCATTTCAGCGAAGTGGGAAGAGCTAGTGTCACTTTAACAGAAAGCCTAGCTTCCATCAGGCATGAAGCAGCTGGACACTACAAGCTCTTTGAACTGTCGAACAGAGGATGGTCTTCTTCCTAACCTAGATCATTTTCTGTAAAGGGCATATGCACAAAGCACAAAGGCCCAGTCTACTCGTGAAATCTGTGGTGCAAAATCATTTCATGATTTCTTACAGACATTCAAGCTACCCAAAGCCAGAGGCAGCAAAGCAACACTATGCCCCCTGTATGCTTGACTGTTGGACAGATGAGCTTTCATTTCCTGTGAACACAGAAATGGCGTGACTTGCCAAAATGCAGTAATGTCATCTGTGCAAAGGACTTTCTCTCAGGAAGCTTTTGCCAAACCACAGCTGGGCTTCTTGTGCCTCTGACCAGCGGGGTCCTCCTCCATCCCTTCCCTATAACCCTCATCAAATTTCTGATGGATGGTGTGAGTTGCAACTGTTGCTCCTTGAAGGTCAACTTGTGTGTGTGTGTGTAACAGTTGGTCGAGGTGCTTTCTCCACCATCCAAACAATCCTTTGATCAAATTCTCCCTTGCTGCCATGCCTAAGGAGTGTCTTTAGTGCCATGAGCCTACAGCTTCCTGCTCATTGCAGTACACAGTGGTACAAAAAAGGAATGAGTCCTATCCCTCATTCATACTTGTTTAATGAGTGATTTATACTGCAGGCAGCTGCATATCATCACAAGTGTCCTCAAGTAGAAGTAAAACCACCTGCTTGAAATACAAAGAAGCTTCTAGAAGGTTCTGCAACCTAAGTTTCTTTCGAGGACTGCAGTTTTACCATTATAAAGAAACGTGGATAAGATTCCTAAACCCAGTATTACACTAAAACCCCACACAGGATTTTTACATTCAAATAACACAGATAAGTGCTGCCAAAAAGAACAAAAACCAAACCATTTCTGGCTTAAGGCCCTGTATTGATCTACAATCTTTTCACAAGTTAAAGGTAAATTAGATTAAGACTGAAATTAATTAAGCTGTTCTAATATTAACCACAGACCGGGACACAGATATTACAGGTTCACAGGCAGAAGCTGAACTCAGACAACACGGATTTCATCAGAAATTCAAGCACCAACTGGTTGTTACAGTCAAAACAAACAGTTGTTAAGAACAACAACAACTCCTAAGGCTTTCTTCAGCAACACTATCTGAAAGCAAAGATACAAAGTCAAAATAAAAGCAAGTCATCCGGGGGATAGTAGAAATCAAGTAAATCCAAGGAAGACTCAAAACACTAAAAACAGAACTGTTTTCAGATGCCTCATAAAAAATAAAATGCACTACTATCCATTTATTAAATTAGTTTATCAATTACAGTACAATAAAGCAGGCAATGTGGGAAAACATCAAAACCTTTCTACAAATAAACACAGTCTGATGACAATATGATAATGACACTATTTTGATGTGATCTGATTCAAGACTAAATTCCTAGTTTTGGCAGGAGCAGAAGAAACAAAGGAAGCACATGGTGTGTACAGGTTTCAAACGAATGCATCCTTCGTTATAACTTAATTCAGCTGAAATACTACAGCTCACCATTCTGTATATTCACACAGTTTCATTGGCAGTGTAAAACTAGACCAAATCACACACGCAAGGCAGAGGAAAACAAACATGCCCACAATCAAGAGGAAGGTGATGGGAAAAGGGATGACCTAGGTCAACTGCAACTTGCTGAAAGGAGTTCGTTTCTGGAAAACAAACCAATACTGCCGTAAATGTGAATGTGTGTGGGGGAGAGAAAGTCTCTGAAGCAAGAGAACTCCAACTGCACGTTCATTCAAGACTCAACTTAGAGATTCGAGACACATGATTGGGAGTGTTGTTGAAAGTGCTATTCTTCAGGACCGTACTTCCAAAAAGACGCTCCCAGTGCTTCCAGGGGAACCATGCCATGTAAAAATCCCTACCTGCTGGTGACAGAGTGGTTCTGCTGCTTCAGGGCGATTTCTCGCTGCTGAATCTGAATGATCTCTCGCGACAAGTCTTCTGGCTTCCTGCGAGAGAGGAACAGGTGGTTAATTAGCATCATGCCCCCTGGGCGGCAGCGCAAAGGAGGATGGCACTTCCAAGTGTATGTTTTGCCATTGAAAATTTGAAAAACAGAGGAAAAGAAAAAGCTTCTAAACAGGCATCACAACATGGGATTATACATAGTGGGACAGAGACCTTTCACCCATTACAGGCTGTAGGCTTTTGCCACATCGGAGTTGCTGTTTGCTTTTGGGGAGTTATGTGAACAGGCAGTGGATTATATCCGATTAAAATGAAGACACTGTGGATGTCAACAGTTCACAACCCCTGTAGTAAAATGTGAAAAAAGTGACGGCTAAATGTAAAGCTATAGCATGTGTGGTTTATGCTGTGCCACTGACAAGGACAATTAAAACTGGAGGAATTAAAAATCACTAGCCATCCTGTTCTACTTTATTCTAAAAACAGATGAAACAAGTTAACTTAGGGAGTTCCTCTGTAAAATTACCAAGACGTGCCAAGTCACTTTTTAGAGTAAGGCCTGTGCTCCAGGATACCTTGTTATCTAGCAGAAAGCTTTATGATGCCATAATCCTTTCAGAAGGTGTGAAAAGCCTTTTCCAAACAAAAATGTTTTGCTGCCTTCACCTTTAGCGGAACACAAATCATATCTCCTCCCTGACAGGTGCTGAGTTTAATAAAGTAAGAGGTCTCTCAGAATTAGGTCAAGTGCCATCTGTCTCAAGCCCTCCATTCAATCAACATCACAGCTTTTCATTCATCCTTCTGGAAGTCATGAACCCGGCCAAATCACCTACAGGAACATCACACACCTGTCCTTCTAGACACGTAAATGAAATTAGCAGCTGCAAAGCCTGCTGATTGAAGGTAATCTGCAAGGCTTACCCTGAACACAGAGGGCTCCTTAAGAGAGATTCACTAGTGTGAGGCAGAATTAACCACAAGACTATCACTCTAATTTACCATTCTCCACAGACATCAGGTGTTTTGAAATGAGGTTTTCAAATAAGAGATACATTTAAAATCCTCTCTGTTTTCTACCACTATGTGGTTTAAGCCAATTGGAGAAGCAGATCTAGGCTTACTGGCACAAACTAAATCAATGCCCAGAGTGTCGCCAGGCTCCATCTTAAAACGTTCACCACCACAGACAACAATGTTCTTTTCAATTATGCTTCCAAATGGTTTGACACTTCGAAGCCATAGAGAAATTAAACTTCAATGACTAAAACCTTATAGTGCAGATGTGAGTTTGTAGCCAGTCCACATTGGGATTGGTCCTGACATGCAGTGCAGACAGAGTCAACACTAAGGCTGATTACACATTAACACCAACCTTTAGACAAATGAAGTAATCAGTAAGACATTAAGTAAAATTGGCTGTGCTGGAAAGCCAATCTTGTGGAGGGTACATGCGGTCCTGAAAGAGACTGGCTCGCACCCAACAAAAATTAACCCCTGGGTGGCAGAGTGTTCGATGCTCTTCTGGCTTTCATTCCAGCTGAGCGTTTAGTATGAAACTCAAATAGGTTGCAAGTTTAATGTGCTGCTCTCTTCAGTTCCCAGGCTCACAGCCAGATCACTTTCAAGCATCACAAACATGACCCTGTAAGAACAGAAAAATCACAACAGTACAAGACCAAAATGTCACAACATTTCCTAGAGGACTCAAGCACCGACATGACACGTCAGCTGAATCCTAACATATCCATAAAAAAAAGTAATACACTAAACAAAACCGTAAGGGAAAACTAGGCAAAATACTGGGGGAAAAAAAAAAATTCTACCTGACCTGTAATGCATAGCATATACAAACACAACCTACATTCAAAGCAGCTCCTACAAATTATACAAATGCAACCACACACACACACACACACACACTTTTCCATCATTACAAAAATTCATAACATATTCCATAAACTACAGGAGAAAATGTCCCCTTGGTGTCACTGAGACACCAGCATGATTATAAGAATAGCACAAATAAAAAGCTTAGTTTTCTTTGGCCTTATTTGTCCACACATAGCACACACACTAATCCAAAAACTTTATAAAGAAACTGCAGTAAGTCCTTTCCCACCTCCACACATCCATCCATCTTAAAAGCTCTTATCCAGTGCAGCTCTTAAGCAGGGCGTGAACCCATCTGAGGAGCTACATAACACAAGGCTGGTGATGACCTGGACAGGATGCTGGTCCATAGACACAGATTCCAGTGAACCCATCTGAGGAGCTACATAACACAAGGCTGGTGAAGACCTGGACAGGATGCTGGTCCATAGACACAGATTCCAGTGAATTTAAAGGCACAGATCAGGCTACCTACATGTCTTTGGGCAACAGGAGGAAACCAGAGGATGGAAAGATCAACTGTGAGACAGAGTGAACATGCAAGCTTCCCACACACACACACACACACACACACACACACACACACACACACACACACACACACACACACTAGAATGAGAACCCTTAACCTTGGAGATGTGAGGTGACAGTGCCACCTACTGAGCCACTACACCATAATTTAATCACTAAATTTAATACACTGTGCAAGAGATGATTCCCCACCCCCCTAGAATAATTTTGAACAGTTAGAAGTAGAGACACTCAATATATACTTTAATGCTTGACAGTTACCATTTCCAGGTAACTTCTTACCATAATCCACGTCAGTCACCTCTGAGAACAGAGCATGTCAGTCTGTATTAGGCCACACTCAGAGTCAATCCTTGCTCAGCCATTAGGAGAGAGACTTCCTAATCTCAAGCTTCCAGGCATTTAGCACAAGATTAGCTCATTCACTCGGCTCCAAAGGAGGCAGGTAATCCGTCAATTAAAAGGTTAAAAAAAATTAATTTAGTTTCAATCCATTTCTTAAATGCAGTATTTTTCCCCTTATTTTTCATAAATACTTAAGCATTAATAAAACAATGCAGCAATGTAATGAAACATAAAACAGGCATTAACTAGTATGTACGTATGAATTAGTCATTTTGAAAACATAATATTTTAAATGAGTGAGATGGAAACAGGGTGTATGAACATGGCACCCGTTAAGTCGATTTAGCAGACTAACTGTAAAATGAAACAACGCCAAAATGCACATATGCAAAACTAGTTCCAGTAGTCCCAGCCTGACCTCGGAAAATTAACCTGAAACTGTCTTAAATCTCTGACCAATTAGCATATTATATGAAAAGCACAGCTTCTTAATTCATCAATCAGCTGAATGGCATTTTTCCGAGAAGTCTGTTCAGGTTAATAAATGTTAGGAGAGGATTAAATAAAATTAGACAAAGTCAATGCAACAGCAAAGTTCAAAACCACATTAGGCAGATAAGCAGCATTTATTAAATGTGAGCTTATTGTATAAAGTATTACCATCATATTAACATTGTGCATGAAGTCAAATCAGGGGGACCTTCAAAAAGAGTAGCAGAAAAGCATGGGAGGACGTGGCCAACAACCAACTGAAGCAAGCCAATCATCCTTAAAAATTTCTGAACTTATTCAATCATCAGTAGCACTTCTATTATCATTAATCTGACCTCCCTTTAACAAATCATGGGAAGTATTCCGATATTTCAGTTCTGCTGATACATTGAGACAAAGCAACTTGAGTTTGTTGCTAGGTAATGCTTTCAATGCATAATTAAATCAAGAAAAAAAGGGAGGAACTGTGTCCTGGCACTGTAGTAGGAAAGCAGGGTATGGGTAGTAACCCGTTCTATATCCGCACAGACAGAACAGAGCCAGAATCGAACCTTCAACCCTGGATGTGTGCAGCAACAGCACAACCCACTGAGCCACTCCCTCCCTGACACGGCCTTTAACCAAATTAAAGGGCATGTCCAACCAACCCTGCAATTTATCGAGCAATTGTTCAGCTGAAAAACCTGCCTGGCATGACTTTTTTTGATGGCTTGAAATGAATGAAGAAGATTCCATATGCCAGACACTTTTTGCCTGACTGAATCCCAATTTGGGAAACTTCTCAGCAAGCCTTCAGGCATTTACGGACTCTTGTCCCTCAGCAGTAGAGATATTCCCCTTTGCAAAGAGCTGGTGAAGAATCTTGATATAGCTAGTGCATAGCAGTAGGTCTGTTTCTTTTTTTTTATAAGACACCAGGGAAGAAAAGGCTCACGCAACTCATAAAAACAGATTTTATCATCGATACAACTTATAAACAAACATCACTTCAGTTATTGGTGTAATTTCTGCCATGTGCCAAGTTATTCTGTTGCTCCAAAAGCAGACTATCAGGATGGAGATGCCAACATATTGTATGTCAAATTCACACCCTAAACATAACACTTCTGGAAACCTCTGAAGCTCTACTGTACAGTCATCCATGATTCCAAACAATGACACAATCAGCTTCTGTGATACCAAATGTTGTTACATTTTCATTTCATTGTTGATGTCAGAGCACTCTAGCAAAATCATTGTAACATAGAGCAAAATATTTACTATAGACATCCGTGTCACAGTGCAGTGCTTAAACTGGAGCCTACAGCATTTCCACACTGCTGAATGCCAACAGTGTAAGTAGATATTTTAAGGTGGCAAGACTGCAGTGTTTTCAAGAGTGGTAAGATTTAGAGTACAGCAGCCCTGAGCTGCTTAAAAGCCAGTACTCCATAAGAGATCTAAGTCAGATTTCGAGTCGTGTGTTGAGGGTTTGTTATAGAGCAGATTTTATTTTTTTTTCTTCCCCGCATTAAGAAAACTGCCTATCAAACTCCAGCCAGACTGCATTTTTCAAAATCCCCTACTCTATCACAAATACTGTGGATACACTTAGAGGACCCCAAATCTTCTGTAGAGTATGACGTGCATACAAATCCTTAAGCTCAATTACCTGGCAATAACCACCATTTCACACTCAATACATAAATACAAGAACACATCATTTAAAAAGGCAATATCCCACACTGGATGTAATGCTTTAGGAAATCTCACAAGCTCTCATTAATCATTCCATCCATGGCTGAATTATCCATCCAGTTCCCCTTTTATAAAGCCTTAATGAGAAAATGATTGCATATTTCCACATGAGCAGCAAAGCAGATCAAAGACATAACAAATGTTCTTTTCAACTTCTGGCTCTGTCAAACTCGGTGTCAAAAATCATTAGAGCAGGCATTCCAAACATTTGTCAACAAGGATAGGCGAAGAAAACATTGGAATAAATGGAAATGCCCATCAACCATCCTTCCAAAAGTCAGAACGACAGAACTAAGCATCAGAAGGTGAGAGAGGATCAAACTAGGGCAGAGCGACACCAGTACACTAAAATCAAGTGCATCAGTGCAAATCCAACTGAATCGTTACTGGAATTAACAGATAATTCAACAGCTCCATCTAGTGTGGAATTTCTAGGAAAACAAGGGTGCTTTTCACTACAGGTGCACAGTGACAGCCTGGAATGAGTGTTTGGGAATACATGTGTAATAAAACTTTGTATCATTTAAATGCACATTTATCTTGCAGTATCTCATGACATAATACCATTTAACCTACAGGTAGTCCATTTATGAGTTATGAATGAGATCCTTTGCTAAGTCTATTTTTAAGTCAGACTTGTAGCAAAGTCGGAAAAGGGACTTAGCGTCAGTTAATCAAATGGTTGTCTCGGCATACAGTATAAATTCTACCTTCAGATGCATGTAAAACATTTAATACTTACAAATACACTAAAACATCTTAAACATAATAATTACAATAATAAATTAATAAAAGTAACTACATATGATACTGACTGGAGATAGGGAGAGAAAGAGAGAGAATGAAAAAGAAAAAGATAGCGATTAAAGATAACATTGATAACATTAATAACGACAAACCACTGAAGCCACGCAATGTCATGAGGGTCACAACACGCACTCATTATTACGAACCGTTGTATTTCTAAATTAATAGGCTATCTGTTCTTCAGTAGGAGTTGTCCGTAATATGAATGTTCTTAAGCTGGGGACTTACTGGATCAAGAAAGGCACCATCATTTTTTCTTGCTATCAAAAGGTATATTACTATAAAAGAATTTAGTCAAGCATCTATTTTATTACATGCATCCATTATCACCATTTCACTAATGGCTATTATAAGATATTTAGGTTAACTCAATGCAAAATGAGAAGAAAAAAAAACAAGTGATACAATATTGATGAGATTAAAAGAAATGCATTGAACTGGAACCAAGTACTACTGCTGACTCGCACAGAAAGCCCATGTTTATCCACATATCCTTACCTAATGTTGAGGCCAGTCATCTCACTTAAATTCTCCCAGGCTTGAAGCACTGTTGCTTGTTTCTGCAAAGAGAAATCATCTTTAACACAGGCTAAGCAAGCTCAACACTCCCTCCCACATTTAATATGAGAACAGGGGAAAATAGCAGCAAGATATTTACATTACAGTCGATACATGTAACATAGTTACGTTAGTTATTTTGACTTCTAATTTGCATAAGTGTTAGGGTCGGCATAAACAAATTGTTTGAACGACCCTCTTAGCAAGTTTTTTTTTTTAATTACTCAATGATAAAAAAAAGCATTTCTCAGGACAGACAGGCCAACATTTAAATACATAACTTCTATAAAGAAGGATTTGCACATTTCAAATGAGTTCTCATTAAGAACTACTGCTATTCTGATTGCCCAGATCATTACATTTTCATAATTAACTCGTTTTCCTAGTTTAAGTTCCTTGCACAGAGCTACAGACAAGAGCTAATTAAAAACCTGAATAGATTACAGGGGCTTGTTTTTCCCACCTCATGCTCTGAGTCACGGGAAAAAAACGCAAAGTTAATGAGGAAGAATCCTGTCATTGTTCCCTGTACCCTGCAAACTGCCTGGCTCACCTTTCCTTACTGATGAGATCTGTCTGTACTCGCAAGTGGCTCCACTGAGGAAGAGCCTTGTCATTAGCAGCACCCCACGGTCCTTCTCACCCAGGCCCATTAGATGCTGGATGAGAATGTGGTCAGGTGAGGCCCAGGCCTCAATGCCCAGACACAGAAGATGGCTAAATAGTCAATGTTGCTCAAAAGCCAACTCTTCAGACCACCTTCATCGGTCACAAATAATCTTATGATAAAGGACCCTAACCTTAGTGTTGAGTGGAAGTTCACAGAAAACGAAACAACCTATAAAAATAAACCGAACAGGATCCCCTTGAAACTCCAGTTAACAGGCTTCCTTGTGCCGTGGGATGAGTGCCAGGTCTGATTAGCCATTTACCTCCTTTTCTAACTCCAGGCTGACCATGTCCTCCTTAAGCTTCTCCAGTCGCTCCAATTTCCTGCGCAGACCCTCTGTCTCTTCTCTCAACAAGTTGCTGTTCTCCTGGGTCTCTCTGCAGAGACCAGGTCGAGAATGTAAGCAAGCTTCAAAGGGGAACGGAGGCAGTATTAGGATCCGAGGTGGTCTTTTGTGAGGTTGTGAGGTGATGTCGACTGAATTTAAGAAACCTAAACACGAATCAAAGCCTGGTTTCCACCTTCATGCAGATGTGTCAGCACGACTGTCACATAATATTCATCAAAATGGCTGGCCTTAGGCACCATGTAGAGAGGCCACGACACCCAAAAAGCATTTAAAAAAGCATTGTCGTGATATAATGCCATTGGCCGTTTCTATGTTAAATGCATTGCCCAGGTGGGGCTCAAAGATAAATTACTTTAGCTAAATGTATTTAATGAGTGAGTTCCATTCCTACAACTAGATCGTTAAGCGAACAGGTCGATAAGCAAAGAGCCACACCTTACCGATATTTCAAGCATACTGTACTGGTATAGGGTTTGTATGAACCAACTTCAGATATTGTTTTAATGTCACCTCTACTAAAATGTTATAAATGGTGCAATGTTCTACAGTAGTCTACTGTATACTGTAATAAACAGTGCACTGTCCCCGCTACGTTTTCCCCATATGTAACAAAAAAACATAAAATAAAAAAAATAAAACTTACATCCATTGCTTTCAAAAACATAAGAAAAGTATAACACACAGGAAAACTTTAACCTTGCACACGTCCGTGCTTTACACGCTACTGGAGGTTCCCTGGCCCACAATACAAAGCATATGCATCAAACTGAAGGCAACATATCGAAGTAAAGGTCAATTGCAAGTTCAGTGTAAACTGAAATGGTATATCAAAATAAAGGTCAATTACTGCCAACAATATACAACCTTCCTTCGCCAGCCCAAATAAATCAGAGACCAGAATAGAATAGAACAGAACAGAATAGAATAGGAACACCACATTGCCATTTCTACAACCAAAGTTCTCCTACAGCGTACTATACCGACTAGTCAGAGAGCTGGTCGTAAGTCCAGGCGGTCGTTAAACAGGTAGGTCGTTAAGTGAAGAGTGTCTGCAGTATTTAAAAAATAGTAACGGGAAGTATTTGACATTTGTTTTCATTTTATTTCAGTTACCTTCAGAAGCAATATTTATTAGTTCTCATTTAGTTGTATTTGTTACTTAATTTCCCTATATTATTTTAAGTTCATGGAAAGGTTTTCGCTAACAATACTAACCATCCTTTGTACTGTCAGTGCATAGTGCACAGTTAATTTTAGTAAGATTCTTATTCATTCTTCTAACATCCATGCCACACATCGTAAACATGACTTTTAAGGGCAGCATTGCTCTGCAGCACCATCCCAGGGCTGGCGTCAAAGTATATGGTTGCCTGGCACCAAAGGCATGAGAAGTATGAACATTCAGGATCGCGGAGGGTCTGGCACATGTTGCACGCTCCCTAGTGCGCCCACTTCTGTGCAAAGCAATTACAGCCTTAAGGATAACAATGGGGGATATTGGGCAGTATCTAACTTTTTATGCCATTATACCGTCCAGATATTATACCGCGGTGGGGTAATACCATATTACTAGAAAACCGCCCAAGCCTAGCCTATGTAAACTGACTAAATAGACATCTCCTCTCAAAGCGAGTCTGATACAGAAACTTTCAGCTCTTCACTATTCCGGAAAAGTGGTCTGTTCCTGCTGGAATTTCTACTGTATTAATAGGAGAAGGGTCCTAACACCACCGCAGAAGGGTTTGGGTATACCACTACAGTGCTATTCTCTCTCTAATGGTCAGATGTGACACTTAGAGCACAGCAGACCCCAGCGAACTAAGCAAGCGACCTTCCCTTCACCTCAAGTAGCTGTTCTCCTCGCGGAGACGCTTCAGCTCGCGCTCCATGTCAGGGAGGCGTGCAAGTTCGCTCTTCATGTTCCTCACGATGACGGAGTCCTGCTCCTGCAGAGCCAGGCGTCTCTCCAGCTCCTGCAGGTTTCCCAGAGAGAGAAAGAGAGGGCGAGCCGAGCAGCCATCAGACACACTAAAGCTACTGCGGAACCCTCGACGCGTAGATTAAAAATGGAGGCCGCTAGGGGACCGCACATGTAATGAACAGCTCTTCCACAAATCTGCTAACCTAAAAATACTCATAGAAGTGTTAAAAATGCACTAGTATAGATCTAGTACTGCAGTAAAGGCACCAAACATGTAGCCGTTTAATTGTAGCTAGCTGCAGGACTGAGAATGGCAGCTTAAGACTGTCCAGACCTGCCAGCAAGCTGTGACAGAGTGGCATCCTGTGATCTGGAATCCATAACTTCTGCTTCCCTCATAGTTTTATTGCCTCACTTATCCTTCCATGTGTTTGCTCAGCATTATACTTGTCCAGCTCACTTTCTATCTGACCAAGGTCACTAAACGCCTGTTAACTAACCTGGACTGTTACAGGTTACAGGTTTGGATGGAATACACCCTTTAACAAACTTATTAACAGAGTTGCACAATATATCATTGCAATTGTAGGCATAAATGAACACCTGTATAGTACTGAAAAGCCAGTGTCCAGACAAATGTTTACACCCATCATCTAAAGCCCCGGTGATCATCGTGCTTGCGGTCTATAACCGTGATATCATACAGCCAAAAACACACCCATTAAATATTACATCATATCACGCAGTCCTACTTAATATGATAAACAAATGGAAAAGATCATGAAATGCAGGGAATATAATGAATAGCCTTGCAGCGCAGCAAAGACGGGCATACCTTAATCTTCAGCTCATTATCGGAGTTCAGGGACTGTGTAGCCTGGAGCTCCTGAAACTTCATAGTAAGTTCCTGATATTTTCTGTTGGGAAACAAAAACATACATCCAATACACATCTGGGGTCATCACACATCAATGTAAAATTCAGTTTGGAGGTGCAAACTGGCCATCTAGATTTCAGGTAGAGGAGGAAAAGCCCAGCATTACTATTAATAACAATTAGCCTCAAATTATCATAGTGGTGATCACTAAAAGATGGGATGATAGAGATTCACAAAGAGGAGGATGTGAGAGACGGGGCCGGCGCCTCCCCTACTTGCGCTGGAGCTCCAGCTGCTCCTGCAGGCCCTGGTTGTCTGTGGACTGGGTGGTGAGCTGCATATCCAGCTTCTTCAGCTTGTGATTCAGCTCCCGGATCTCATCTCGCAAGGCTCCGTTAGTCTGCCGCGATTCGACAAGGCGATGTTTGCAGTAACAATCATTAACTGAGGGGGTTCACCTGATTACACCCCCAAAATGTACACATATAAAATGACTGTTATGAAATCACACAGTATGCATAATATTCATTTCATTCTCATTGACAGTAAAGAGCATCTGTATAGTATCTGTATTCCAATTCCTGGTATGTGAAGAAATATAGGTGAGCCATTTGCAATAAATGGGTATAATATCTAGAGCAAATAACATCTTTTACTTGATGCTCTGATCTCTGTAGTTCCCACTTGGGCCTTAGTAGTGTCACAAGCATCTGATATAACAGCATCATTGGAAATGCTGCAGTACCTTATTGGCCTCAGAAATCACAGACTCCTTCTCCTCTAATTTCTTGTTCTCTCCCTCCAGACTCTTCTTCAGAGTTTTGTTCATCTCCATTTGCTCGTTCAGGGTCCTCGTGGTCTCCGCCTCTCTTTCCTCCAATTTCTTGATACGATTGAGCAGCTCCTGGTTGCGATCCACCTCCCGCTGAAAACAGAGAGAACATACATTACACACGGCTTCATCCGGCACATCAGGCGACCGCGCTCAGGTCTGGGCATGACACAGATGCAATGGCATACAGAGAGTTCATTTCTATTAATACAGTATGACTGCATCAGAACATCAACTTATAATAATTAAACACAGCAGCAACATATGAAGCAGAACCAGCTATTAAAACCAGTAAGAGCATGACACATGGATTCTCTGGGGGCTTCACTGTTATCTGAACAGTCAGAGTGTAAAAAGCTAGAATGTACAGGACTGTTATATCCTTAAAAGGTTTAAAAGACACAAACACACATGACCAAAAGGCTGCACACTCAGTCACAGAAACCCAGCACAAATCAGGATTAACAAAGCGATCTAATGTACGAGTACAGAACTGTGCAAAAGTCCAACGCAAATAAAATGCTTTCAGTACAGCAAGTATAGATTTGCTAAAAAAATAAATTTAACATTAGAACATAAGAAAATTAACAGTATCACAAAAAAGACTAACAAGAATTTCTTCAATTCTCTAAAAAGTTACTGGTATCTTGTTGGAAAGCTTACAACAACATCGCTTCTCCTCAGGGGCACCTCAAAAATCACATGTATTCTTTAAATTTCCCCACCAGCTCACTTAACATTATTCAAATAACTTGATGAGATACTGATGAAATACTGCAATTGCTTTATTCGTTAATTTTCAAATAAGTGAGACACTGCAAATAAAGCCAAAGGAGGGGTTGAAGCTACATTGTTATGTGGGCTGAGCTGGTAGAGTAAAGTGGCATTCTTCTGTTTTATACAAACATGAAGATCATTTAAGCATCATTTTCTGACTGCCCAAGACTTTTGCAGAATACTGTATGTAACGCAAGTCAGGAGCAAGAAGCTGTTAAAGCAGCATTCCTTGAAGTGCCTAAAGTGCAGCACACGCAGCACGAAGCAGGCTCCATCCTTCCACTGTATTCTCCTAGGCCTCGTCGCTCACCTCCAGATCCCTGGCACTGATGTGCGCGGCCTTCTCCAGCTCAATGCGGGCACGTTTGTGACTCAGTTCCATCTGCTGCTTCTCCTGAGCCATCTGCAGAAGGTGCGTCTTGGAGCAGATCTTCTCAGCAGCTTCCTCCATCTATAGAAGGAGAGAAAGGGAAAAAAAAAAACAATGAAAGAAAACAAACATTTCAGTCATTCATTTGATCATAATTGTCATTAACATTGTATGGTGTATCAGCCCATTTTCGGACTTGGTAAAAGAATCAAACACTGAGCAAGAATTTATACCAATGGTGTAGGGTGCTACACTCCAGAGCACTGCACTCCACTTCCATTATCCCTGCAAAGAGGGCTGCTTCATCTGCGCCCTAATTGTGAACTTGAGTTCATATAAAATATTATTCTGGATTGCACTGTGACTGTTAACACAGTTACACCTATTTTATTGGAGGGGACATCTCGTGAATTTTGGTGACAGTGCGTATACTACTAAATACACATCATTAATGTCTGTGTACAAATTTACACACACAAAGCAAGGAATCCCTCATATAAGCAGTTTTCCCCAATCCAAAGTAAATATTTGCATAACAAAACACTAACATTTAATTGTTCTAGATCAGCGGTTCCCAAACTAGGGTACGCAAGAGGCTGTAGGGGGTACGCGAGGGAGCGGGGGGAATCACGAATTCGAACAACGAGACAGTCAGTAATTCTCACAACAGCGGAGTCGGTGACCTCCAAAAAAGCCGTAAAACCCACAATACAGTCGTGTTTATGTCATATGTTTTTGTGCTTATTAAATTTAAGTGTTTTCAAAGATTAATCCCACAACAGTAATAAAATAAATGTCTTTAACATAAATACTAAAAGAATAGATCGCTTTAATCGCTATTACAGTTGGGTATGGGCACGCGG